CCGCCGCCGCCGCCGCCGCCGCCGCCGCCGTGGTGCGGGTGGTGGTGGTGGTGGTGGTAGTGGGGCGCGCCGCCCTGCGCCGCCGCCGCGGCGATCACCGCCGACACCACGGCGGCCGCCGAGCCCATCTCCTCGGCCGGCACGGAGCCGCCGGCGGCCGCGGCCAGCTGCTGCCCTCTAGCATAGCCATCGAAGGCGCCGGGCAGCGGGTGGTGGCTGCTGTTGATCAGCGCCTCCACCGCGTCCTCGGGGCTGAAGCCCAGCGCCTCCGGGTTGAGCTGCTGCGGGTACCCCGTCATCCAGTAGTAGTCTTCCAGGTGGGTCTTCTGGTCGGAGCCGGAGCCGGGGCTGGGCGCCGAGAAGCTGGGGGACGGGGGCACGGAGCTGCAGGGCGTGCTCATCGGGGTGGAGGAGAGCGATCCCCCGGCGATCAGGCGGCCGCACTGGCTGATAATGCGATCGGTCTCCACCGGCTCCTTTTTCACTTCAAACTTCATCAGATCGAAGTCATTAACATATTCCATGGCCAGGGGACTGGTGGGCAGGTCGGAGCTGCTCATCGCCAGCTCTGATGCCATCCTTTTGCTGCCGAGAGTCCTCCAGAAAGGGTGCGCTCCGGGAGCGAGGGGGCTGCTCTGAGTCGCCACCGGGTGAGCCAGCTTGATTTTTGGCGAGCTCCGCTCCGCTCTCCTGCTCTGCCTCCGCTCCGGTCCGCCCCGGCGGCTCCGCTCCCGCTCCGCGTTATCCCTCGCAGAGGCTCCGCTGATGCATCAGAGCGCGGGGCTCTCGCTATTCGCCTTTTGCATAGAGGGTTTTTTTTTTTCCTCCTCTCTCCCTCCCTTCTCTCTCTCCTCTCGCTCTCTTTCGCAGCTCGCGAACCGCAGCTGGAAGTGTTAGCTGGTGGTGTTGCGAGTAAATTTGTTGTTGTTGTTGTTTTGTTTTGTTATTTTTAACACTTCATGGTGCCTTTCCTCTGGGCTCTCTCGTGCAAAGTGCAGAGCGAAGAGAGAGGTTCATCGGGGGAGGGAGGAGGGAGAGAGAGCAAAGGCGAAAAAAAATAAAAAAAAAATCACAGTCTGTATCGCAACCAAAATAATAATAATTAGAAGAGTTAAAAACAAAAAAAAAAAAAAAAAGGAGAGAGAGGAAAAAAAAAAAACAAACACAACAACTCGGCCTCAAAGCTACAGCAAGAAGATGAAAAATATTTAAAGGTTTGATCCGGCAGGAGAGTTTAAAGCATTGCGGGGTTTTATAGCGCCCCTGACGTCACACGGGACACGGGCTCGGGGCTGGGCCAATGGGCGCCCGCCGCCCGGGCTCATTAGCATAGGAGTATAGCGACAGGGAAACTTTCCGGGCTGTCAGTCAGGGCTCAGCTGACTGTCAGCGCCCGCTTAACCCCCTCCTGGCCGCCGGGGCCGCGCCTGGGCACGGCACGGCTCGGCACGGGACGGGGCACCCGCCGGGCCGCTCCTCCCGCGCCGCACCGGGCGAGCGCCCTGCCCCGGGGCGGGGTGCCCGGGAGCTGCCCCTGCCCGCCCGCACCGGCACCCGAGGGCGCGGGGGAGCTCCGGTCGGCCGGGAGGAGGGAGGAAGGGGGAGCGTCGGGCGCGGCGCCCCAAGGGGAACCCGGCAGCGCCCGGGGGGGAGCGGGCGGCGCGGGGGCAGCGCGGGGCTCCGCCGTGCCCGGCGCCGGTACCTGCGAGCGGGCGGGCGGCCCTTCCCCCGTGCCGGCCGCGGGCCATCGCTCCGCTCCCCCGCAGCGCCCCGCGCACTTATTGATTATTTCGGTAGAGGGACGGGGCATCGATCCCTCCGTTCCCCTCCCCAGCCCGCTCGGAGGTGCGAGAGCCCCGCAAGTTTGCAAGCTCCGCGCCGCCTCCCTCCCCCCCACCTCTCCCGGCGCCGCACTCGGCTTGCCGGCCCGGGCTAATTAATTTAATACATTTAGAACTAATTGTATTTACTTTCGTCTCCTCATCACCTCCCACCTCACCCCCCCCCCTCCCGTCTCCCTTTCCCCTCCGGGAGGGGGCTGGGGCCGGGCCGGGGGCCGTGGAGCGGCAGCGGCTGGAGAGGAGCGGAGCGGCTTCGGTTCGAACCTCGACAGCGCCATCTCTCGTCCACAGGTCAGTGCCGAGCGGCCGGGCCAGCGCGGGGACGGGACGGGACGGGACGGGACGGGACGGGACGGGACGGGCCCCCCGTCGGGGCGGTGCCGCCCCCGCAGCCGCCGCGGTCCCGCCCGGTCCCGACTGCACCCGCCGCGGGGCCGGGGAGAGCCGCAGCCTCCCGGGCTGCCAGTCTCGATTTTCCGACCGGGCTTTATGGGAATATCGATAGAATTAAAGTTACTTGTAATTCCGTGATAAATGAGATGTCTCTAGTAAGTAAGATTAAGTGCGGTGCTATAAAGTTGTTTATCTGAAAAGTAATTCTCAGAAACCTGACTTCTGACACTTGGTCATATATTAAACCTGCTTCTTGAACATTGTACTTCAAATCCTCCCTTCTCCCCATGCCCGGTCCCTTCCCCCTCGGAGTTCGCTATTTATAACCCCACTCAGGGTATCTCTCTGTAGGTGCGGGCAAGGCTCTGGGTGATTTTTCACCAACTGTGAAAGTCATCATTTGCAATAGCCAAAGAATCTCTGCTTAGGAAATAGCGCTTGGCGAGTGGATTTACGAATGGATAACATCTTCTGACTATGCCATTATCAGTGTGAGTGCCAGTACTAACATCTGAAAGTCATACAGCATGTACTGTTCCTGGCAGCTAAAAGGGGTAGGGCATACTGCGAATTTAGGAAGATAACCACATCTAGAAATGATCATAGTGGCAATTCTGTAAAGATAAAAAAATGCTACCAACATCTCTAACAAAATTAAAATAACAATTCTGCACGGTCCCAAAACACACCCGCACACACAGAGCCGTGGACATCTGCTGGCTTTATCTTACAGACTGCGATTCATGACAAAGTTAATACAAGTTAACTACTCGGGCTGGCTTTCCTAGTTCTTCACTTTGTTGGAATCAACAGAACTTCCAGGCTCACGGCATAAATCCCCTCAGGACAGTCCAATTCCCTGTATTTGTTTTTTACCAGAGTAAGATGAATGTGGCACTGTATATCACTTAACATGCTCACCTATGAGAGACATTTATGTGTGCTAATATTTTTAAATGGAAAGGTTATGGCGTTTCAGAATGTACAGTTGTACTATTTCCCTTGCCCGTGTGGTAGAAGGCTGTGGAAATGTGGCTCCAGCCCCATAAAATAGTTTGTTTGGATGTGAGGATTCAAAGTGCTACATTTGCAAACGAGTAAATTTCCTGAGTAAACTCTGAACTCTAGACAAAGAGTATGAAATTGTGTGAGCTAATGGGGACTGTCTCTTAATTGATACCAATGTAAGCAAGTGCTGCAAATTAATTGAAGCTCTGACCTACCAGAACAGCGAGTAAAATTATTAGTTGTACAATATTGTTCTTGTGTGATTGTTACACAGAACTGCTGCACCAAAATGTCTCTACTGTTCAGCGCAGCAGAGAAAAAAAGATTATTAGCAATTTTTGGATAACCTTCAGAAGCAACATTCTCCTCCCTACACTATATAATTCGCATTTTAGTAGTATTTTTCTTTATTATTTGGCTATTCACAATGGGTGTCTAAACATTTACAGTCCTCTATTAACAGTGTTTCTTCCATAACAATCACACACTTTCATTTCAATTAGAGCTATTCAGTCTTCAGTTTTTCCACAATTATCGCAGGCCAATTCCCTCAGACTGCTCCCTTTTCCCAACACTGTTTGTAACAATCCTGCCCTGAGCCAGGCAGAGGGAAAACTCCACCATCCCTCTCACAGCCTCTTGCTCTGGCTTGTTTTTAAGCATCCCTGTTCGACGACGTACCGTGGAGCCCTTCTTGCTCCCAGTGTGCCGCTGACCTGGTTCATAAGCCTCCAAACTAATGTATATTTATTGTGGGAGAGTTTTCTGACAGATCGTGCAGGGGGGACGTGAAACATTAACTCCAAATCCACTGGGGTCGGCCTGCGCTGAGCACGCCAGCAGCTGAGGCAGGAACTTCCACCGCTGGAGTGTGTGTGTGTGTGTGTGTCTGTACCCAACACACGAGACTGAGCAGAAACGAACGTGCAGGTTCTGTGTTATATGGACTCAGGGTGTAATTTGTTATAACTTAAACACATATCAAGGCCAACACATTAAGTACAGTTACTGCTCCTTTTGTTTATCTAGTGTCTTATTTTATGGTGCAGAACTAAACAGTGTCCGCTGAATTTAACTACGAAACCAGCCAAATTGATTTCAGAAAGACTTCTTCGGAGTAGCAGAGTGATAAGGCATAAACTGCTCCTAGGTGCAGTGCTAGATAAATCCTTTTAACAGTCTTCAGATCAGTTAACAGGGTAAGTAAATCACATATCACTGTTAGCAGATTTATGGGAGAGAATTAATAGAATCAGACGAGATAATCTGGTAGGGATAAAATTGCTGAGGAAACAGTCCTGCCTTATATTGGAGAGTATGAAACAACAGTCTGATTACTGGGAGTCATTATGGATTGGTGAATTATGAGCTAAATCATCATAAGAGTAATTCAGTATTTATTAATTCTTTTCTCTTTAAACAACTCACAGACGCAAATAAAAGCCTCTCTCTCTTTGAAGACACATTCTTTATATATTTTTATTGGATGTAATTTACTATTTGCATTACCTGTATTTACTTCATAATTGAACATTTTGCATTCAAATTTATGTAATGCATAATGCTTGAGAATATATTTCTCCCTTATTAGCATAAATAGTCACTTACCTCATGAATTACTAACAAAGTTTATCTGAAAATATAAGTATATTTTTTATTAAGTGGAACACAAACATATGTACAATAAATTCTGATTTTCCAGTAGTTGTTGCAGAAACATAGAACAACCCCGTATCTGAGAAGAGGGAAAAGAAGCAGCAGCGAAGAAGCAGAATCAATTACTCTGTGTGTATATGTGACAATAATTTCTTCTGTCAATGTTTTGTTTATTTTTAATAAAGGGTGAGTGACTCAAAGGTTTGCTTTAGAAGGAGCAGATGAAAAAAAGGCTCTCCACAGTGAATTTCATCTTTCTTCCCCCCAGTATTTTCCGATGGACTTTTCTCACTGGTGCTGTGCCACTGCAGCCTTTGCTCTGGTGTTGCTCCTGCTGACCCGCTGCACGCCATGAATGGATGCTGCTCTACACCCACTTTCTCATACATTTCCCTTTTTCACCTAATCCTGTTTTTATGCTTGGTTTTACATCCAAATAATCAATATAATTTAGGCCCATTCTGCAGTACTAACACAGCCTTGCTTATTCAGAGAAAACCCCAACCCTATTGACTTCAAAAACGGTGGGATTGAATCCTTGATCCCATTGAAACCAATGACAAAACTTGTATTGATTTCGGTGGAAGCAGGATCAGGTCCTTGATGTTAGCAATTTGTTTGTGTCAGAGGGCTGATCCTACAAGAAATGAAAGAAAGCATAGATCTGCTGGCAGGAAATCAGGTCCGCTCCCCAAAATTCAGAGGCGAAATTCCCAGTTAACCAGTGATGGATCTCCTTCACGCTCAGGGTTTATCATCGTGGTATGGCGTGGTAGGGCGCCTGTGTAATTTTGTCTGGTCCTCCTGGGAGCATTCAAATGAGCACATCTATAAATGTAGCACAGCAAAATGAGCTACTTTTGCCACTCTCGCTTTTCGCGAGCCCGGTACAATCCATTTCTGTGACGACAGTTTTCTGCCCCATACGCATCCAATACTGCTCTTTTATTTTAAGGCTGAGAAAATCTTCCCTTTAAACTCACGCTGAGCATCAAATTGGACTCCACTTGCAGCTGAACATCTTGGCTGTCTCTTCCTTTCCTCCATCAGCTCCAGTATATTTTATGTAGAATTCTCTCTGTTGATGAAACTTGCTTCTCCTCTCTCTTCGCTTTCTGGTTTTGTATTAGTGTTACCGAATCCACCAGACTTGGCGCATTTCAAAACTGTGCAAAAAGGGAGAAAAAAATTGTTTTATTTTCCTATACAGTCTCCTATTTGGCCATTTTGCACAGACCCTGAATATGCAACCTATTTTCATTTGTCTGTACAGTTTCTATTGCTATATTAGAAAAAAAGTAGCTTGAAAAGTCAGGCTTAAAGACACATCTTGGTTGCTTTTGTGTTGCATCCAAGAGGGCTTGTGTTTTAGCTCTAGAAATTGTGAGGTTTTAGCAGCTGCTTCGATTTTATTCCCCTGGAAGTGCCTGACAGTCACTATGTGGAAGACGCAGCATCGGTGCTACACCTGAGTGCGTGAGTTTGCTCTGTCTACCCTGAGTCCTAATGAAGTGACAGCTTTTTAGCAGTCAGAATATTTTCACTGATCACTTATAATGTTCATAAATTGCTAGAAATACTCCAAATAACTTTGTATGATCCAGAAGCAGTTTCTCTACCTGGAGGGAAGACAGCACTGAGGTGCAACTGAAAAGCTGCAAGTGACTCTTAAGACGTGGCTGAAGGTTGGTGTCACCAGATTTGCACTGTGCTTGTTTCATGATGCATGTCCTAGTTTACTAATTGTCATGAACAGCTTTTGCCCAAATGTAAAAATCAATGAAGACATTTTTGATGCTATAAACCCTATTTATTTAAAAGAAATAAAAACTGAAATGGCAATAAAGATTTTTATCAAGCTTTATGGTGGGATTTATCATTTATAACTTGGATGATCATGTTCAGCTATACAACATGGTGTTTGCTCTGAATTTAGCTGAAGTGGGTAAATGGAGAACCTGGTAAAACCTCCTGCACAAATTAATCTGAAAACTCTACAGAAGCAGAAAACTAGCATTAGTTAAGGAAGAGAATAAAACGATTACATAAATGTTATATATCTGAGCCCTCCTGATAATGTCCTGTAATATGCACGCTGCATTTGTATCTATTTGAACTCAGAAAAAATTATTGGTGCTTTTCTCCCTTTCTGCTCTGCATTAAGTTGTTTCAACAGCAAGAATGGTTGCAGTGGCAGCAGGAAAAAATAAGGGAATTTTATATGCTATCTCTTTCTTAAAGTCAGCCTTCAGTAAGTGGTGAGGAGGGCACGATTCTGACATGATGTTTTGAAGTGTAACTGTGAAGGTTGAGATGGTCTTTATTAAAACCTGTGAACTTCAGTAAATTTTGAACAAATCTGTGATTTAATGTCTTGAAGTGCGAGATGGCACAAACTCATTAATTTCTGGTGATAAACTGCGCTGCATGCGATGGGCTGAGCACCACGCTCTGGACTTATTCCCTGTAAACAGTAAAATACGATAAGTACTTAAAGTAACTGATGGGGTCTTTAGCAGCACAAGGTTCTTGGCTTACATGACCTAAAAAGGTTCATTATAACACAGGAGGGCTGGCGTCGAGCCCCGCGGCTCTGGCAGCTCTGTGCGGGGAGGGTCACTCTGGGCGCGGGGAGGGAGGTGTAAAAGCGAAGCCAATTCCAAGCGGCAGCTTTTCCCCCGCTGTGCACCCGGGTGGCGCTGACAGAAACGGCTCCGGGGCGTGCAGGGGGAGAGGGATCGGGCCATAAAAACTTTACACGGCATCAATAAGAAGAGACACTTGGAGATGGATGGAGGGCTGGTGACTGCGGCACAGACAAGGAGGGAGCTCCAAACCCTGCACCCCCGGGCAGGACCTCTGTTGGTCCCTGTCCGTCTCGGGGCAGGCGGAGTGCTTGCCCACACGGCAGAGATGCCTCAGACATGAGGAGAGCTGTCGGATGAAAGGTGGTTATGAGCACAACGAGTTATAAACCAAAACCCCGGATGAGCTGTACGTATAAGAGCACACAAGGATCTTACGTTACCTCCAACCTTTAATTATCTGACTGAATCTGGCCTAACCTGCTTATCTTCTGAGCATTACTCATTAGGCTCTGGCAGGAGGAGGTGTCAGTGGAATACAGGACAGGTTTGGAACCAACACCTTCGCCAGTTGAACTGGCAGGAGTTGAAGCTTAATCATGGGCAGAAATGGGGAGGGGGGGAGTGGGGAGGTCTTTCCCCCTTCCCAGTCTGTCCCTCTAAAATGGATCCAGATGACTCCAACTCCTGCCCTCTCCAGCCAAGGTAAGCCAGCTCCCATCCCAGCATTCCCCTCCCATTCCCCAAATTCAATAGCCCAACTCCACCTATGGTTAAGGATGCCAGGTTTGAGTTCTGTGGCAGGAGCTTGGCTGCTGGATCTGTCTTCTTGAGTATGGTGATATAGCAGCATCTGTCAGAAAATCTATGTGAAAACAGTACCCGTGCCAGCAAATGGAAACTGTAGCTTTCTAATCAGCTACATTTGATTTGGTTTGATATATTTAACTTCTTTTTTCTCCCACGATTGGCAAATGTGTTATTCTTCTACAGAAATAAAAACAACCTGCAATTTACTGGATTGCTTTACACAGTCTTGGTGCAAAGAAATGTATGTCATTATGACATCTGATATCTTTCAGTGTCATTGTCTTCACCATGTGAGGGATGGAAAGTCTATTTATTTCCTTCTACTCCATCAGAATTGGTTCACTGTTATGGGGGTGCTGGGCAGACCCAGTTCAAATTTGTCTCCATCCGGAGTCTGGGTCATTCAGAAACTCTAATCCTAAACTAAAAGGAAATTATAAAAATACCCATGAAATTAATTTTCACACCTGCAGTTGGAATTAATAATGGCAACCAGAGTGGCATCCTATTTCAGCTCCCTTGAGGTGACTAACAGTCCTGGTCATTAATATAATCCCAACCACCAGAGGAATTCACTGTCTGAGGGATCTACCATGAAAAACAAATGATCCCCAGAGCTATGCCTGAACAATGGAAAATGGCTTTAGTCATGTATTAGTCATTTTATCACAAGATTGTATTTTTGCACTGGGAAGTTTGTGCTCTGATATTAAAAGAGAACAGAACAGAACAACAGCATTTGACTTGGTAATTTGCACACAGGGTTTGATTATGTTTGAGCTTCTTCGCTTTAGAAGGATGTGTGTAAATGACTAAGAGCAATAAATGAAGTCTTCTAAGTGTGAGGCTTTCTCATGCAAAGTTTGCCTGCATTTATTACTGTCTGTGCTTAGCACCAGTCCTGCATATATCTGTTGGTGATGCTTGTAGTTGATCTTGATAAGGGAGTGGCCTGTTGCTAAAATGCTGCTTGAATTTTCCCGTTTCTGCTTTTCTGCCTTAATTGCAAGGGATGAAATGTGTCAAGTGTCTGCTTCACTCGGCTGGGAATCACGGTACTGCCTCTGCAATTTCCCAGCCTTCAAAGATGACATGCAGCTCGCAAACTATAAAGCTAAGCGACTGCTCGGTGGCTCTGAGCTGCCTTCAAAAGGCATTTGCTTCTAGCAGTGGAGCAGCATTAGGACTTCAAGCAGGGCACAGAATAGGTGTGCACTCGAATCCCTTAGCGGAACCATCTTTCAGAAGGAGTTTCTCTAATTATGTTTATTTAATCCTACCCTAATGGCCCCACGTGATATGCTCTGAGTGTCTGAAATGTTTCAGCTTTATTCTCCTGAGCTCTAAAGACCAGGTTGGATTGTGGCAAGCAAAAAAACTGCTCCCTCTGCCCCAGGAGCCATCTGCTCAGGGTGTGAGCACATAATCACACATAAAAAAGTCTCTTGCCTCTTCTTAAACATCTCATCTTCTAAGAGGTTTTTTTAAGACAGTACACACCTATCACACGCTTACTGCATGCACTGTTCTGGGAGACAGTAATAGCCTCATGGTGCTGCTGAAGAGGCCTTTCTGTACATGAAGTTGTTTAGTTCCATATTTACTATGTTATACAAAGGGCCTTAAAGTTCTATAGCAGTGGTGCAGCACAAGAATTAGACTTGGAGAGAGGGAGAAAGAGAGAGAGAGAGAGCGAGAGCGCTGGAGATACCAGCTTGTCCCCCTGTAATTTGTACAGAGATTTCAGCCACAGCTTTTTCCTCTCCATTTAGAGCAGTTACTAAGATCAGTTACTGTGAATGTAGCTTGTGTTATTCCCTGTGGAGTAGGAGACAGGTAGGGCAGTTTCTGTCTTTATTCTTTCTGTCCTCTCTACAGATTTACACCTTTTATAGCTGTTAAGGTAACTACCAAACTACTTAGAGACTGGCCTCGTGCAGTGGCAGGCTAGCACTTTCTGGTGTTAGTTTAGCCCCAGCAGGTTTAGATTCCATCTCCTGCAGTCTCTTCTAACAGGGATTCATTTTTTTATCTGCCTGAAATTCAAGGTTCAGCCTAAAGTTGATTCCAGCAGCACTCGGCTAAGTCCTTTTGTAAGAGATGGTCCAAAATCCAGCATTAAGAGCCACTAATAAGAGGGGTGATACACCATAAGGTTCCTGTAATTTTCCAGATGACTCAAATAGCCTGCTGTTAGTAAATCTAGCCTTGCAAATTTAGAGGAAAGATATCCATCATGCCACATTATTCTGCAAGTACAGCTGGGAGTGAAAGGCCGACTGTAGCTGGATGGGGACAGTCTCAGTGAAGAATGGGGATACCCACACCTTCATATCACCAAAATTAAACAGGTCAGTACAAAAAGGTGCACTTAACTCCACAAAGGTCATGTAGTGCCTTTAGTTTCATGGGTCAAGCTACCACATGTGAACCCTGATGCCTGGTCACTGCACTGCTACATAACATTCCTGGTATTAGAAAGAATTTGCACCACCATGTCAGCTCACTCCAGCAGTTGCCAGCTGCATAGATTAATTTTTAACCTCCTTTTCATTTTCCAGGGCTAAGGCAGATGAGTAAACACTTCACACCAAGCCTCAGCTGGGCAAACTGTTGTTGGATCAGCGGAGGCGACAGTTCCTGAGGGTCCATCCTTTCGTTTCCCAGATCCCCCTTCTTGATTTTTCCATCTTCACAGAAGTTTCATTTTGCCTGCTGGCCAGACAACCAGCATGAATCCCTCTGATGCCTGTTTGCAGCAAAGGTGCTGCAAAGCTGCATTTACCATAGCAGAGGAGGGCTGCTACAGGATTTCCTCAAGGAAAAACAGAAGTTCAGTTTTAGGCTTCTGGTGGGTTCTCTGAAAGATAACTAAACTTTGCATACATCACTATCTGGAACTTGATCTTGGGGTCAGAAGTACAAAGCGTGCAAAGAGTCTGCATAAGCGAGAACGACACGTAACCCCCTTCGTTATCTTCACTATCACCTACTTTAACAATACTCAGGTTTGGAGAGGGTCATCCTACTTTTTTAGACTCAGATGGCAGCTGGTAGGGATAGAAGCAGGACTTCCAATCAGAATTGTCTTCTTCGCCATTTGAAACATAAAAACAAGGTTAGATGTCCTGAATGTTAGTCCTGCAAACCCAGGCTGGGCATCTGAAAGCCAAAGCTCCAACATTACCACCCAGACTGAAAGTCTAATGACTAGAATGCAGTAGAAAACTATCTTTCACTAGTTAGCAGATAATTAATGATGCTACATAAGAATTTTGCCTTATTTGAGGTTGGATAAAAGCAGAGGAATTTTTTCAGCATTTGTCCCTTCATTTGGGAATTTCAACTAATAACTCTCTGTCCTTCCTCTGTTTCACAAGTCCCCTGATTAATATACTTGGATGTGTGAAAATATTGTTTTGACTTATAGCCAGAGCTGCAAAGTACAAATCCAAACTTCTTTAGAG